TCCCTGAGGTAACCATACGATGGTTGATAGAGCTCTCAATTTTTTCTGGGTGATAGTCAAAAAGGCGTGCAGTTTCTATGAAGAGTGACGGTTTTCTCAAATTCCTCGCATTTTACTAGGGTGTGACCCCTTACGCGAGTTTAGCACGCGGATGCGCGTGACTCCTGCATTTTCTGCGCGCGGTTTTTGAAAAGTACGCTTCCCCAGCGCGGTATATGGACAGGGCCCGCCTCACCATCTCTCCAGCGCTTCGTGGTCTGCACGAGGTGCTTGTTGGCGAGGAGGTCGCGCCCGAAGTCCTGGACATTGCCGCTCTCCGAGAAGGTGCTCCCGATGCCGGAGATGACCACCTCGCTGCTCATGGTGGTGGCGGTGGTGGCGGCGGCGGTCGTGTGTGGTGGAGTGAAGCACTCGCGGCAATGCGACTGCCGACGGGGTGGTCGGGGCCCTCGCGCGGTGTAACCCGGCCTCGCCGCTCCGCTCGTGTAACCCTGCCCTACCGGGCACGCACAGCCCCCCCCGTATTGCTAATCCGATCGAGGCGGGAACGATTCGCGAGCCAGCCGCGCGACAAATGCCCCCAGTGACGAAACGCAAATTCCTTGCGCCCGCAGCCTTGAGGATTTTGCGCGATTTGCAGTCAGCCCGAGCGCGGTTCCCTCAGTTCGCATTACACTCTGCCGCTGTTGTTTCATTCCCCGGCCGCTTTAGTTGCATTTTTTTTTTCTTTTTCTTTGAGGGGCTCACTGTTCAACCCAAAGTTCTTAAACGAAATAATAAGCACCAAAAGGAGCTCTACCGATCGTGCCCGATCACGGTATGACGGGGCTCGTACGACGGCGAAAAATGAAGAGAGGGGGGTTGAAAGGAGGTTGGCGACGTCGCTGTCCATATTGCATTTGGCACAGGGTCGATCTTTGCGGTGCGTGTGTGTGGGGTATTCGCCCATGGTCTGGCCGAATGGGACGTGGCGCAACAGGAGGAATTGGAGTAGCTCCTGACGGATGATCCGAAAATGGACTTATTTTTCGACCACGTTTTGGAAGATACGGCGAAGTGGGGGAAAATATGCCCTACCACAAAGGTCCACGCTTACGCGCGCCGTTTAAGTTAGGCCAGACTGACACAAACCAGGACTATCACACAGCTGAGAAAGGTACTTGTGTTTCTTGTGCGTCGTAGAGTGCGTCCGTTTTGCTCAGATTCGTTAACTTAAGGGAGCTCGGCGCCTGCGGGAATCGGGGCAGGCCACCCTGCAGTACACGCGTGCACTGCAGGCGAGATGTTGCCTACCCGTCAGGCGCTATGAGAGCTGGCAATGGCGGTACTGGGACTCGCCAGTTTCGCAAACAAAAGGTACGGGGCCAGTTGCAATAATTGTCTCTGGCCATTTAATGTGGAGAGCAGCCCTGTGGCTGGCAAAGCAGCGCGTGGCCTGCACGGACAAAGCCGGCACATCGAACCGAATCGGACAGTGAACAGATTCAAATTTAAAATTAGCTGTAAACCATCTCTGAACTGGCTAAAATTTACAGTTTCGAAACGGCAAATGACGGGCGTGTACGTTCTGGGTGATCTCAAAACTCTAAGGGCGGTAAATTATGCGATTTTCATGATTTTTTATGATTTTTTCGTGATTTTTTCATAATTTTTTAAATGATTTTTTCTACGGGTGTACAGTGCTTTTTTGAGTGAAGGACCCCTCATCTCCCCCCTGGGAAGAGGGCGTAGGCCGGGGCTTCGCTTCGCCTCCACCGCCGTAGCGATAGAGTCGCGCCGTGGAAGGGAGTACCGTCGCGGAGAGGAGCGGGCATCCGGGTAGGGGAGGGGCTGCAGGATGAGAATACGCGGCAGCACCGACTTCCCCGTGGCATCCCTACTGGTGTCTGTTCCGCCGTCACCCTCTCGCGCTTAATCCCCACGAACCGCTGCTAAAAAAAAAAAAGTTTTCCAGTCACAACATAACGAAGCTAAACCACTTGTTCTATAGGATGCGTAACTGTATATATAATTTTCCCACAAACACCAGCAAGGATCGGCTGTGATTCACTTCTGAGCGCACTTAACTTACTACAGTTGCGATATGTATTCGGGCTTGTGCGAATCACATTTTTGTGTTCTCATTTAACAGATTCAAAATAGACCTCTCAACTTCACTTCATATCTTGGAACAGCGGAGAGTCCCAGGTGCGGATTAAGGGGGGGGGGGCTGTCGTCTCTAGAGAGCCGCCTGAAAAGTAGGCAATTTGCGCCACAAAACCCCTGTATGTAGGCAACCGACAGTGCATCGCCTCCCTGTCAGCCGGACCTTAATCCGCCACTGGAGAGTCCTCCGCACATTTTCACCCCACTTCCTACGCCACTGCACCATCGCCTTTTCCCAGTTCATTAAAGTCGATCAGTGTCGGCGACCCGGTTGAGGGGCAATAAGACCCAATGACGTCATCGCACTAGCAAATCGCGAACACTATCGATCCCCAAAGAACACCCGCAATAAAAACAACAGTATCGAATGAAGTGTTGTTGGTGTCGATTGTCGATACATCATATGTCGTTCGCTAACGATGCCCAAAACACTAGAGAAAAATGATATTTCATAGGACTCTTTTGAACAATAGCTTCAGCAGGTTTTATGTGGCTCTTTTAACTGCCACAAGAACGTTGGCGTTAACATTGTTTGCACTCGGTTAGAAAAATAAATAGTTTTTGTGCTTTTACTCTCCCTTGTCATTTTCACCACGCTCATTAAAGTCCTGTTGGCGACCGGTTCTTTGAGCGACCCTGACAGAATGCACTTGAACTCGTATTCCGCCGAGCGGTGGTGGTGCACACGTGCGCATAGACTTGGTAATCACTTGCAATCACTGGTTAAACACCACACTACTCGCCGCACTGCTAGAAATCTGTCGTCAGAGAGGTGCGAGAAAAATTGTCCATACAAGATGTCGTGTCAACGTACAACAACAACACAATTTGAATAATTTGACGACATTGGAACTTACTTTTCACTATTTGTCCTTGCTCTATGTTAAATGTCCACATATTTCTCACTACAAAAAAAAGTACGTTCGTTTTTGTCAGGTCCATCGGGTTAATTGAAGATCACGGGAGCTCGCCGCCTGCGAGACTCGGGGTAGGCCGTCCCGCGGTACACGCGTGCGCTGCGCGTGACATGTTGCCCACCCATCAGGCGCCATGAGAGCTATTTCATATTGAAGGTCGGTGGAACCCCCAAGCGGGGCAAGTCCTGTCGCCCTACGGGGCTGTACTCCCTTCTCCCCCTGGCCCTGGTAAGCTAGAGGACCCCAAAATCAAAGCATCAATCCCATAACAACATCCAATCACAAATATTGTAAGGACTACGGGCAACAGCGCATCAAGCTATGTAAAACCCAAATGTATTATTTAATTTGACATCAATAAAACCATTCCAAAACTGAAAAGATAATATTTAAAGGGCGTGTTGGCTCGGTGGTGAGAAAGTGAGACGATCGTGGCGTTTGCGTACAACAGCTTTAGTCAGTTTAGCCACGCGCGGGAGACCGCGAGCGCGTGGAGCAGGGTGGGGTGGGTGGGGGCGGCGGAGCTGCTGACGCGGGGCCCGGGGCCCGGGGCCCGTGAGCGAGCGCCTGCAAAGCCCGGGATCGGCCACCCGACGGTTGGCGTGCAGCGGAGCGCGCACGGTGGCCTACCCGAGAGCTCGCAGGCGGCCCCCTACGGATGTGGCCAGGGACATGAAGAGAATTACGAAAAAAAAAATTATGATTGGCTGAGTACTAAAGAGTACTGTGCTATACAAGAGGGCCCGGGATCGTCTTGATCAGCGGTCGCAAAGTGAAAAAGTCCGGATGAAAATAGTTCTTTTATGTAATGATCATGTTAATAGATTGTAGGTAAGATACGGAAAAATGCCTTGTAATCATGCGTTGAAATTACGTAAAATAGGGTCTGAGCGTCTTGGCTTCCGCCGCCATCTCTTCCTCGGTGCGCCACCGACCAGTGGAGTCATCTTTATCATGTTTAGCAAGGTCCCTGTAAATGTCATCATTGTTGAGGTAGTCCCCTGGGCGACGAGGCAGAATATGTACATGAACATGCTAAAAGTAAAAAAAAATAATCACATTAGATTAAAATTCAAAAATAAATAAAAAAAGTATTTTAAAAGATTATGAGCTGAAAAGGCACCTCAATGGTTTGTCCTGAATCCTTTCCGTCCTGCACTACGATTGTTGAAGATGTCCCTTTAAATGCCTTTTCGATAATTGGAGCAACTTTATGCACGAGCATAAAGAGGTCAGCAACTTCTTCGGGATTTAGCTGAGACATCCTTTGTACACATCGGAGTGGTGAAACTAAAACATCTGAATTGTTACGATAAGGTTCAAAATATTCCATACAGATATTGATAAGATGAAATTTACAAGCCTTTTTAAAATGATATGAGAAGCAATAGGTAAAGGATACGTCCTGGAACAACACACTTCTTATTTGTAAATGCCATTGAAGAGTGAGTTTGTGCAAATATTCCACTTCCTTTCACATAGACCTGACCAAACTGGAATTGTTTTGACTCTGTGTCTTCTTGCGGTTGTGAGACGCAGTGCACTTTAAGGGAGGGGTATACATCATTTCTTCTATGTTCCAGTACTGGCATTGAGAGTCTTGTTTTTCGTAACAGCTCATGATCAACTTCAGCAACAGCTACATTATTACCTTCAGAACACTGGGCAACTATGGCACCCCATGGATCCACAATCTAGGAACAAGGTACAATAAAAAATATGTATTAAAATTTAAAGTTTTACCAAAAATTGTGCGACAAGTTATTTTTTATTCATGGATGGATGGATGGTCTGATCACTCCATATTTCAGTTAAAATTACCATTGCATGTCCCCATGACGTACGTTTTTCATTGTGCATGCCACTTTGGGCAGCAGCAACAACGTAACATTGTGTTTCAATTGCCCTTGCACGTAGTAACGGTTCCCAGTGAGCAGCTCCCGTAGCAAATGTAAAGGCAGAGGGATAAGTTAAGATATCGGCTCCTTGCATCCTCAGGCTAACGCTAGCCTCTGGGAACCTCAAATCATAACACTGATTTAATGTTAAGAAAACACAGACCAACTGATGATCAAAACCAACCATATTGAACTTGAAAGGATACAATTGATAGACCGATATTTCCTGCAGGCGTTGATACTGGAGGTAAAAGTTTTGTTCCTGGTTTACAGTACGATGACTCTTTAAGATGAACATTACCCTCTTTGTAATCCACATCAAAAAGATGCAGTTTGGAATAATCTGCTTCTATTTCTCCATTTGAATTTAGCAGGACATGGGCATTCCTGACTGTTTTGTCATCTACCTAGAGGAAAGAGAAAGTAATTTTAATAAAGAATTTTTTTAAAAATACTCAAATTTACAGATTGAGTCATAGATAATACCTTGATGTGAATTCCTCCCAATGAGAGCCATACATTATGTTGCTTGGCTAGTTCCTTGTATGCACTTAAAGTTGGACCATTTACATCTTCAGCCATTTCAATAGTTTGTGGTTTGTTCTTACCCACATAATCACATGCTTCTGGCAGGAAAATAACCTGGCGAAAGCCACAAAATTTGAGTCATGTTTGTGTAGCTACTAAAAATAGTATGTATGAGGAAAACATATAGAAAACACTAATTAACATACCTGAGCATTAAATTTCTTGGCAGATGTTATGAGATCTTTGCACACCTTTAAATTGGCATCCTTGTTTTCAGTGGCAGTCATTTGACACACAGCTATTATTGCTTTCTGACTAATGTTTACTCGTGACATTTTAGATAAGCCAATTATTGAGTTCTTACTTAGCAACAGATTCCAAACTAGTTTCATTTGATCCTAATCTGAACCCAACAAAAAAGTACAATGAAATCGTTAAGTGATGATTATCTGCTTAAGGCTCCGTATCTTAAGGTGCAAGAATAATCGGAACACTTTGATAAGACTTGCTGACAAGTTCACAGACAGTTGTCGGTTAGGTTATATCTTTAAGAGCACAACTTAATTTAATAATGCAAGATATGACAGTGGAAAATAAGTGTTTCAGTATACTCGCGCCAGTTTCACAAACTTACAGATCGTTTACTACAGCAAGTAGATCCTCAGTTTTACTTGCTGGCGCAATTGTTTCAATTATAAGAATGAGTTACTACAATAATCCGTCTGCTTGTTGTGTTGTCTTTAGACCGGCTGGTTAGGCCGAGATGTTCCCAACACTCACAAGTTTTTATGGGCTATATACATTAAGCGTTCAACTTGTAATCAATTCAGCTTCTATTTAAAACAAAATAAAGGTTAAAGAATATTGAACCCGTTCTTTAAATAAGTTTTGAGCAGGACAGATATTACTACAACCCAAGAAATTTTGTTGCTGCTTGGTTGAGTATTTGTAGTACCACAGGTGTCTCTTGCCAAGAATCACGCTCATTTGTTTTTGTGTTCCGTTCTTGTGGCCGTGGCCCAGTCTAACCTATAGTCCGACTGACGGAAGAACAGTACGGCAACGCGTGGTATTCTTATGGGCAACTGTGTTGTTCTTTCGTCAGTACGACTATATCCTTCAAAGAAAGGGTGCTTTCTTTGATCCTTCAGGTCCAGCTGATCAAGGAAGGAATATCTGGAGCAAGTTAGAGTATGTCGAATATTTTTCAAAATTTAATTATTTGCGACTGTCTCTTTCGTTTTGTGTGTGTGCACCCTTGAAGCGTCTTTGTTTTCTTGTCAAGAAATAGGAATTTGTGAAATCTTATTTCAGAGCCTCAAAGCTTCTACAGCTTTCATCCATATGTTCAATATTATTGATTAGTAGTGGGCATATCGATATCCAGTATTTGATTTTTGAGATTGTGCTTGGGACAACCCTTGCAAAGAATCGACTTCGTTATGTTTATTGCACCTTCAAGCCTCATTCGTCTGCTCACGCCGACCTACCGGCGGCCTTAAATATTTGAAATTTATTGGTTTTTGTTTGAAGAAAAGAGATTTTACATCTGACCTACTTTTTTTTGTATTAGCATTTTTTTTAAATTATCAGTGGCAGCAGCCATTAAATTTCTATTTCAAGCTGTTTTATTTTTTGTTATAAATTTTACCTCTTTTTATTATCACAGTTTGGAGACCAAGTTGCATCAGATCATAATCCAAAATGACAATTTCACCTTTACCTGCTAAAGATGTCAGGAAAGCATTTCTTGACTTCTTCATGGAGAAGAAGAAGCATGAATATGTCCACTCATCATCCACTATACCTTTGGATGATCCAACACTTCTCTTTGCCAATGCTGGAATGAATCAGGTACAATGAATTGTTTTTCCTGATGTGACATTTCTTATTTCAAGAAAAAAAAAAAGTCAAATCCATTTGTTAAGGAAAAATGAATGTATTTCTACCTTCCCTTTTCCTCTTGCAGTTCAAACCCATCTTTCTAGGAACTGTAGATCCCAACAGCGACATGTCGAAGTGGATCAGAACTTGTAACACGCAGAAATGCATTCGTGCAGGAGGCAAGCATAACGACTTGGATGATGTAGGAAAGGATGTTTACCACCATACCTTCTTTGAAATGTTGGGAAACTGGTCATTTGGTGATTATTTTAAGGTAAACGGTTTTGATAATTTTTCTTATTTCACTCCTTGACTTCTTCAAATTATTCTCTTATACTTTGTTTCTTATTCCCTCTGATTGTAGAAAGAGATTTGCGCTTGGGCTTGGGAGCTGCTGACTGAAGTGTTTAAGCTCCCTGCAGACCGCTTGTACGTCACTTACTTTGGAGGAGACAAGGCATCTGGGCTGGAGCCTGATGAAGAGTGCAGACAGTTCTGGATAAAACTTGGGTAAAAAATTAATCCCCCTCATCCCTCTGTCCCCAAATACAACAATAGAAAAAAAATTATCAATTACCTTAACTTAGGTGTTATAATACTCCTTTCTTTTTACCAGTTTACCAGAATCGCATGTACTACCTGGTAGTATGAAAGATAATTTCTGGGAAATGGGTGAGACAGGACCTTGTGGTCCTTGCTCAGAACTTCATTTTGACCGGATTGGCGGTCGAGAAGCAGCTCACCTTGTTAATCAGGATGACCCTGATGTATTGGAAATCTGGAATCTTGTCTTTATTCAATATAACCGGTAAGTAGACATTTTTGGACGCACCCCTTTCTAATATTTGAAGTGTTCAGTCTGAACATTTTTTTATCTTATTGTTTTAAAGAGAATCTGATGGATCCTTGAAGCCACTTCCCAAAAAACACATTGATTGTGGTATGGGTTTTGAACGTTTAGTGTCTGTTATCCAAAATAAAAGGTCCAATTATGACACTGATGTGTTCGTGCCTCTTTTTGATGCCATACAGAAGGTAAGAGTTCTTTTGTAGTTAAAATTGGAAATATACATGAAAGAAATGGTAATCTAATAACATTATTTCACTTTTTATTCAGGGCACAAATGCTCCAGCCTATCAGGGCCGAGTAGGTGCTGATGATACAGATGGTGTTGACATGGCATACAGAGTTCTAGCTGATCATGCAAGAACTATCACAATTGCGCTTGCTGATGGTGGCACACCTGACAATACTGGAAGAGGGTAAGGAAATCTTAAAACTTTGCTTGTTTGGATTGTCAAACAGTCAATTGTGTTTTCCCCTTGATGATAATGTTACAGTAACTTGATTACAAGTGGTTCAGAATTATTATTTTTTGTAAAGATTTTTCATGCATGTGGGTATGGATGAGGCATTTGAACCCTGACTATTCCCAGCAGAGAATAGCGCTGACTTGAATTTTTTTTTTGCAGCTATGTATTGAGACGTATCTTGCGACGTGCAGTACGATATGCAACTGAAAAGCTAAATGCCAAGCCTGGTTTTTTTGCCACTCTTGTGCACACTGTCATTGATCTGTTAGGAGATACGTTCCCTGAGGTAAACATCTTTTACTTTTGTTTTCTTTTTGGAAATTTGAAATCAGATTCTTTGTACTGAGAGAAGCTTAATTTTTATTTTAGTTAAAGAAAGACCCTCAGAGCATTATTGATACTATCAATGAAGAAGAGGAACAGTTCTTAAAAACATTAGTCAGAGGTAGAAACCTTCTCAACCGGACCATTGTGAAATTGGGCGATAGTAAAACACTTCCAGGTTAGTTATATTTTTCTTCAATTTTTCCGATTGAATCACATTGTGTCACACCTTTATTTCATAAAAATAGATTTTTTCAATAACCTACCTCTTCAGGTGACATTGCCTGGCGTCTCTATGATACCTACGGGTTTCCTGTGGATTTGACCCAGCTCATGGCTGAAGAAAAGAACCTAGCTGTTGACATGGCTGCTTATGAAGAATCTAAGAAACAAGCTCAGGTAAGAGTGTGGGGACATCAAAAGATTTGAGTATGCGTGATATTTTCACTAGTTGACAAAAACTTTCTCCTGTTTAGCTGATATCTCAAGGACGTGGAGCTGGAGTTGATGATCAAATTAGCTTGGATGTTCATGCCATCAATCATCTTCAGGATCAGAAAGTTAATCCTACCAATGACACTCCCAAGTACAACTATAAGGCAAAGTCAGATGATAAAGATGCTGATTATGGTAAGTCAGCAGAATACAAGCTCAGATCATTTTACTGTGTTTTGAACGAATATTTCAGATAAATACAGCCCGATTCCTTTCTAGAATTTCCAACCCTTGTTGCAAAGGTTATTGCTCTGCGACACTCAAAGCAGTTTGTGCAGGAAGTTTCCTCCGGACAAGAATGTGGTGTTTTGGTTGACAAGACCCTGTTTTATGCTGAACAAGGTGGTCAAATTTATGATGAAGGATTCATGGTTAAAGTTGGAGATGAGGTAATAAATTCTCTGTTAGGGCTTTCGACTGACACTTGGAAACTTTGGTCAATTTTCATCTACTAAATATTTTGTTTCTTTTTCAGAGTACTGAGTTCTCTGTGAAAAATGTCCAGGTCCGTGGTGGTTATGTTCTGCACATTGGATCTGTTGAGGGTACTTTAAAAGTTGGCGACTCAGTTACACTGCATCTTGATGGTGCTCGTCGCCAATTGGTAATGAAAAACCATACTGGAACTCATGTCTTGAATTATGCATTGCGTGCTGTATTGGGAACCGAGGCTGATCAGAGAGGTTCTCTTGTTGCTCCAGATAGATTGAGATTTGATTTCACCAACAAGGTTTGTTTTTCATTATACTGAAAACTACCATCCTCTTTTCAAGCGAGCCAATAGATTTCCCTGTATTTATTGAAATGATTCATTTCTAGGGAGCAATGACTGCTGAACAAGTGAAGAAAACTGAGGAAGAATCCAATAAACTGATTTCTCGGAATGAGGAGGTGTTTGCTAAGGAATCAAATCTTGCTGTTGCTAAAACAGTTCGGGGTCTGAGAGCAGTTTTTGAAGAAACTTATCCTGATCCTGTAAGAATTGTTTCTATTGGTATCCCTGTGGAGAAACTTGAAGCTGATCCTAACAGCCCTGCTGGCACCGGAACTTCTATTGAGTTCTGCGGCGGTACTCACTTGAAGCGAGCAGGTCACATTGGTGACTTTGTGATTGCTAGTGAGGAGGCAATTGCTAAAGGCATTCGCCGTATTGTTGCGTTGACTGGACCTGAAGCTGCCAAGGTGAGATGTTGTTAATTTTTACATTGGTATTCAACAAATTTTCAACCTCATCAGAACTAATGAAAATCATTTTAAAATAATAGGCATTGAAAAAGACTGAGCTGCTAGAGAATGAACTGAATAGTATTCGCACATCTTTGGAGGCCATCAAGACTGCTGCAGATCAGAAAGTTGTGGTAAAGAAGATTGTTGAATTGACCAATGACATCTCACAAGCTGTTATTCCTTATTGGAAAAAGGTAAGTTTTGTTGATAATTATTTAGTGTAATAAAATATTTTAGCCTTACTTTATACATACAACATTATAAATTTACTGTTTTCTTGTGTAATTTTAGGAGGAAATGCGTACTCTTCTGAAAAATTTGAAAAAGCAGTTAGATGACAAAGAACGTGCTGTTAAAGCTGCTTTGGCTGCCAATATAGCTGATGAAGTGAAGGCTCTATGCCAGGCTAACCCAACCATGCCTTTACTAGTCCGTGAACTTCAGGCTGATTCTAACACTAAGGTTCCATGATCTTTATTCTAAATTTCAAGTTGTTTTGGTTTATCCTATGCAAAGATCCTAATTTGACTAAATCACAACAGGCATTGGATGGAGCCCTCAAACAAGTAAAAGCTTTTGCTCCTGAAACACCTGCAATGTTCTTCAGTGTTGATGCTGCTGCCAAGAAGATCTTTTGCTTGTGTGCTGTTCCTAAGGTGAGTTGTCAATGCTACCCTCAACTAATGATGTTTTATTGTGGTTTTTTTTTGGTTTTTTTATGGCTACTTGTTATTCTAAAATGTCTTGTGTACTCTTACAGAATGCAGTTGATAAGGGATTGAAGGCCAGTGAGTGGGTTGCAGCTGTATCTACTCTCATGGATGGGAAAGGTGGTGGAAAAGCAGAATCTGCCCAAGCGTCCGGCTCAAATGTTGTGGCACTAAAGGCTGCTCTAGACAAAGCTACCGCTTTTGCGTCAAGTAAACTTGGTGTCTCTGCTAGTGAAGGTAAAGCATAGAAAGTCTTACCCATGAGAAATTGCATGATTTGATCTTTGGCTTGAACTTATTGTTTTCATATGTTCATTTGCTACGAATGCTATTTAGATTGTTGAATGGCTGTTGAAAGTCTATGCTCAAAGTATTTAGAAAATTTTGTTTTGTTGCCTGTAAGAGTTTTTAGCTTTATTTAATTTTTCACAACATTTCTATACATATTTTGTATGATTTTTTTTCTGTAGATTTGACTAATCCTTCACTTACATTTTTTAAAAACAATTTTGTGCTATTGGTGTGTGTGACAAGAATAGACACTTTAGGTTATGAAACTCTTTACCTTGTTTGTGATAAGTGAGCAATGGGTTTTATGATATTTTGTCCTCTTTTTTCAATGACAATTTGTTTTCTACCAGTCTGTTACAGTAGTTACATTGAACTTTAAATGATGATTAATTTTAAACCAAATGGCTCTTTATCCCACTTCAATTATAAGAGATTATTTTTTGCTCCCTTTGGTTTTGGTATGCATTTGATGATTTTTTCATTTGATTTTCTAACTATTGAAATCTCCACTAACATTTTAAAATAAGATCTCTTAAGTTTGTGTTGTTTCTCTTTTTAAATGCATTCCATTGTTGAATGTTTGTAGCTTGAGGTTTGAAAAAAATGAAATTTAATTATATATTGTAAATTGCTTCCTCCTATTTATATTGTCTACATTGTTTTCTGTGTGGTTTATCTGAGAGTGATTGTGTGAGCATGTGATTTGTATTTATTTGAACAATATACAGCATTCGTCCGTAGGTTTTTATTTTATTTTTCCCGTTATCTTGCAACCCTTAGACCAGTTGTTTTAAACTAACACGTCCTATGTAGTAAAGGTATGTTGCTGTGTTATTTTAAACCTTTGAGTTCTGATGCGTCATTTCTTTCCTACATTTATTTATGCATGTTAATTTATGCATGTTAAAGTCAACCTTCTGCACACAATTTATCATCTTACTGTTTTCAGATAATACCAAAACTATTCTGAAAGTTTCTCACGGGAGTGTTTGTTATTCCCGAGCCTTGATTTGTGCCAAATACTCGGGAAAGGATGTTGTGGTGAAACCTGCTGAGGACAAGAAGAAAACAATTCCTGTGCTGGAGGAAGATGGTGAAAAATTCCTCAACACAGCCGCCATATCATATTATTTATCCTCTCCTTCATTAAGAGGGGGACCATCTGAGTATCATCAGGTTGGTTTGCGAATGTGACCCTGCCAATTTGCAAAATAGTTAGCCCTCTTGAACGCTCATCATTTAAACTCATTTTTTCTGTACCTGGCAGGCTGAAGTTTTGCAATGGGTGAACTGGTGCGAAGGCACACTCCTTGTTGCAATAGGAAGTGTACTTGAATTCTGCTGTGGAAGCTCCGGAAATGTCAAGTCCTCTCGGCGCCAAGATACTGAGAGCTACTTGCAGGGATTGAGCAACCTCTTAAGTTACTTGGACCGAGTTTTTCTTGATCTCACATTCTTAGTCAATGAACGTATTTCATTGGCAGATATTACACTCTTCAGTCTCATTCTGCCAATTTTCCAATCAAACATGGAACCAAATGTGCTCAAAACTCATGTTAATTTGAATAGGTGGTTTAGAACTGTAAGTACACATACCATACAAAACTTTGTCAGTTCATTTTCATTTATTTTGTTTAGATGTAGTAAATACTGTGTTTCTTTCTAGCTTTATAATCAGACTGAAGTTAAGGCTGTCTTGGAAGAAGAATGTGCCCCATCAGGTAGCGAAGCAAATCAGGCACAAAAAGATGTTGTTGGCTGTGGTAGTACAACACCAGGACTTGGCAAGGTTGAGTGTGACAAATGTCCTGAGACCAGCAAGGTGTGTTCATCTAAGAAGGCTTCTGTTACCAGTAGCGCAGTGTGTGATCAGACGCAAACTAAACAGCAAGACAACAGCAAGGTGAAGAAAAATGTCAAGCCATCCAGTACGGAAACTGGAAACAAAGCAGAACTCAAGCAGCCTGAGCAGGTGCCACCTCCCACAACAAATCCCCCTTCCTCTAGCAGTCTACCTTCCACAAAAATCCCCCTTCCTCTAGCAGTCTACCTTCCACAAGCAATCTGACCCCTACAAGAAATCCAGCTCCCTCAAGCAACCCCCTACAACCTTGTGAACAAACTAGTAAACCTACTAATGAACAATCTGATGCCTCTCAAGGCAACGACCAACAAAAGAAAAAAAGAAACAGAAACAAGAAAAACAAAACTAAAAAGTAAAACCTCAAAACTGCTCAAGATTATTTTTTAGGGGTAAAATTCTGTCTTTTTCAGAGAGACTATGTAGAAACACTGATTTTGAATACTTTTTTCCCCTTTGAATTCACCCCACTCAATTGTCACTCTTTAATAACACCATGTTTTCTTTTAACGAAATAATACTAATTTATTAAACTGGAGTGAAAAAAAATATATGTTTCATCAATTATCCTCTTTCCTTTCTCAAAACAATAGACACTGCACTGAGGACAATACTCGTTCTTCCTACCACTACGAAGGTGAAGTGGGATGGTAAAGAACGAGTAAAAAGACAAATAAAACTAGCTCTAGTCTGGGACTGTAATGGTCGAGCAAGCCCTACTTAATTTATTTTAAAATTCTGGTCATGCAAAATTATTGTTTTCTCTTTCATTGTGAGAAGTATTGAAATAAGCATACAGTCTCCAGTATTCTTCCTGTGATGTACAAAATTGCCCTTTTCACATTTGGACTGCATTTTCGGGCCAACATGACCGTCGACGTAAGGTCTCCGAGTTATAGTTTCAGCTTTAGTTATAGTTAGGTACTAGGTAATCTACCGCCCGTTCCGGAGTCAGCTTGTCGCCTGCAAACACCTGGGTAGGCAAACCCGCCTAACAGCCCTGCGGAGCTGGCTGCCCACCCTGGCTGCCCAGGTGCAAGAACTAAACTACGGAAATCGTCAGGGGCGTCCCCTTCGTGTCACCTTGACAAACATTCATTCTGAGAGATCCTTTAGACGAAAAGACACGAAAATCGGCGAAGAAATTATATATTTCAGCTCCGTATTTTGAGAGTAGCGCTGGCCTTATCACTATCAGTCAGGCTTCACAATGGAAGTGCTCCAAACTAAGTAGTGCCGGCCTCATCGC